CCGCTCGACAGCGCTCAGCATCAACCCCAGCAACGCCTACCCGCGCTTCTCCGAGTCTTGCTTTCCAAGGATCCTGGACTTCAGGGAGGAGAAGGCCGTGGGGAGGGCTTCTGCCGAGGACTACGAGCTCGTGGCGTCGGTGGCCGCTCTGCCTCCGCAGGTGGCCGGATATTTTGAGGGCTTCCAGATCTACAAGGCTTTAGAGCGCATCGCCCTGTGCGTGAGGCAGACCAACGGCTTCTTCCAGAGACACCGGCCCTGGAAACTGGACCGCAGCGACCCCGCGGAGCAGCTGTGGCTCGACACCGTCCTCCACGTGACGCTGGAGTGCCTGCGTGTCTACGGGACCCTCCTGCAGCCCGTCATCCCGCACGCCGCCGGCCGGCTGCTGTCCAGGCTGGCTGTGGCGCCGGAGGAGAGAGGCCTCTCCAATGTGGCGTTCCTGCCGCGCTACAGCGGGAAGCCGTGTCCCTTCGAAGGGAGGCAGCTGGGACCCGACACCGGCGTCTTGTTCCCCAGGCTGGAGAAGCCAGGGCAGCCTCGGGCAGAAAGCAAGAGGCTGTAGTCTCTGACGCAGCTCCTGTCAATAAAAGCCTCTGGGATCTCCCGGGCAATGTTGGCGGCGTTCAAAGCGTCTTCCTCCTGTGTCGTGGTGCAGTGGAGGGGTGGGAAACCGGCCTGAGCGGGGCTGTGCTGGCCTGGGGGGCTGGCATGGGGAGCTGACGGGATGGGTGACGTTGGGAACAGGATGGGCTGGGCGCAGCCTGGGGTTTCCACAGCGCTGCTGCTTTTTTTCCCTGGTTTATGGGGCATAAAAAGCAGCTGGGGCAAATATTCACCCCCTTCACGGAGGGAACTGTTCCCTGCCCACTCCGGGGGTCCCTCCTCAGCCCCCCTGAGGGCAGCACGGGGCCATCCCGGTGTCCTCACCCGCCGTGGCTTTGCCCCGCAGGATTTGGGCCGGGCCCAGAGCAGCTGCGGGGGGTCAGGATCTGTTTCCTGGTGTCGTGGTTTAGGGCTGGGCCGGGCACTATCCCTGGCCAGACGCTCTCTGGGAACCCCTCTGCCCTCCCCAGGAGGGAAGAGAGAAGAGAAGAAGGGAGAGAGACTGCACGGGTTGGAAAATAAACTAACAGATTTAATGAAACAATAATTCTGATACTGCAGATAATATTGTAAATAGGAAAATACTGACATATATAAAAATATGTACAAATATCTACAAAACCAATATGAAATCCCCCCCCACCCTCCCCCAATGACGAATACGTCACCAGAGGCTCTGCAGAGCC